CCCAACACCCCCACCCAGAGCCATTTGCATGGAAGCAAGCAGTTCCATTTCAAGGTGCAAAATGTCTCCTACCCGTGTATCTTCTACACTTCCTTTTCCCAACTGAGATTTCTACAAACAACATGGGTAACTTGATGTCTGATATCTACTGTGCCATATGCATCGGTGCTCACTGTAGTGGCCTGGCCAGTTTGATAAGTAAAAGGCATTCCATTTGTTTAGAGGAAAAAAACTAAGCTGGGGATGGGATATTTTTTAGCTTTCCCCCACCAGTTTGTTTTGCAAAAGTGCAGGTATTGTGACCTGTCAGCTTGAAGATGCTATTCTTGTCTAAAAATTCTTCCAAGTCAGTGAGAGTTTTGAATAATGACTCTTACATTTGGGGATAACTAGACCCTGTTTTCTTGTGGTGCTTTAAAAAAAATATTCTCTGTGTGTATTCAGGGAGCCTGCTCTTGTATTTCCAAAGTGATTGAACTCTCAGAGCTCCTCCAAATGGGGAGATTCCCATAAACTCCTGGACTGATGCACTATTGCCTTGAGTACTTTACCCACCAAGTTTCAGGGAGCCCTAGGCTCACGGAAAGTCCCAGGAAGCCAATGAACAGAGACTGCTAAGCTGGGGAAAGGGCCGCTCTTACTGACCTTTCACCCTTGCCTGAACTTGTGCCAGGTCAGAGTGTGTGGGTGCTACAGGTCAAAGAGTTCAAGGTTTGACCACGAAGAGCCCTAAGAGCCTAAAGGAGAGAGAAAACAGGCAGGTGCAAGTCCAGGTGTGCCCACTAAAGGAAGGTGGAGGAGGCTGGGGGACAGAGAGCAGAAACACCTTTAGTGACCAATTCGAGGTCCGGGGCTGGAATCCTGACTCCTCCAGCTCCTTCCTTCATCTCCTGCCCCCTGGGTGGGTGACAGCCACCTAGCTGTCCAACTCTTAGGGTGCTTTTTTAAAAATTAATTTCCTGTATCCTGAATTTTATTTTATTTTATTTTTTTATTGTTCATATGTGTATAATGGTCTTTATTATCCATGAATGAGTGAGATCATGTGGTATTTTTCCTTCATTGACTGGCTTATTTCACTTAGCATAATGCTCTCCAGTTCCATCCATGCTGTTGCAAATGGTAAGAGTTCCTTCTTTTTTACAGCAGCATAGTATTCCATCGTGTAGATGTACCACAGTTTTCTAATCCATTCATCTACTGATGGGCACTTAGGCTGTTTCCAAATCTTAGCTATGGTGAATTTGGAGGAGGGAAAGAGCACACCCACGGGCGCAGGGAGCCAACTCCAGGCAGGAACATCCCATTGGTATAGAAAAGACAGGGAGCCACCCCTGGGCGCGGGCTGTAGGGGGCAGGTGATCTCCAGAAAAGCAGGGGCAGGAGAAGCAGGAGCTGGTGTGGTACGTGTTCAGCAGCTGCCCACAGCCATGGGAGCCCTGGTCACCTCGGCCTGGTGCACCCTCTTGGCCCGCGGACTCCGCGCTGCGCTTGGCCGCTGACATGTGTGCCGCCCAGATGCCGCTCCTGTCGCACATCTTCTGAGGGACGTTTGCCCACTCCACCTGGACCTGCCCCATGGAGGTGCTGTGGGATCACCTCCTGGGAGTGAGCGACAGCGGCAGAGTAAGGGGGCGCGGGGTCTGGAGCAGGCCAACAGAGGGCAGGGGTTGGGGGGGGTGGGGTTTGGGGGGCGGTAGAAAGAGTCGCGTGCTGTGCCCTGCAAGCCCAGAGCTTGCTCCCTGCAAAGCCAGTGCCAGCTCAAGAGCTGAACTTGCGGGCTTGGATCCAGGGGAAGCCGCAAGAATCCTGGCGGGCCCGGGAGAGGCGTGTTCCTAGAAGCCAAACAGGCGTCCCAGAAGCCAGGAGCCATTGGTGCGGCAGCCATCTAGGCTGTAGTGGAAGGGGAGCGAGGCTGTGCCCCTGAGAATCCTAAGAGATTATTTCTAGACTAGAACCTTGTCTATCCGGTGCCTGGCACAGTGCCTGGCATAGGCTAGGCGCTTTGTAAATGTCTGGTGAAAGGAATAACAGAGGAGGGGAAACTTGATCAGTGTTCTTTAGTCCTCTCAGTGCATAGAACCAGCAAAGTACTAATTTCATTCATGGGATCATTCAACAGACAGTATACTTCTAATGACTCGAACTGAACTTGGAATCCTAAAAGGATAGTCTGAGAGAAATTATCCACCCCCC